TATCTGTATATATATCTGTATATATACAGTGGCATGCGGAAGTTTGTGAACCCCTTGCAGAATCTGTAAAAATGTGAATAATTTTAACAAATTAAGAGAGATCATACAAAACGCATGTTATTTTTTATTTAGTACTGTCCTGAGTAAGATATTTTACATTTAGTCCACAAGAAAAAAATAGCTGAAATTATTAAAAAAAAAACATTCAAAAGTACTGTGTGTGGTTTCCTGGATGATCTACGACTGTTTTTTGTTTTGTGATGGTTGTTCATGAGTCCCTTGTTTGTTCTAAACAGTTAAACTGAGCACTGTTCTTCAGAAAAATCCTCCATGTCCTGCAGATTCTTCAGTTTTCCAGCATCTTTTGCATATTTGAACCCTTTCCAGCAGTGTCTGTATGATTTTGAAAACATTTTTTGAATTTGAAGATCAAGGAAAATTTTACTTAATTTGTCTTTCGGGAAACATGCAAGTATCTTATTCCGAAGGGCAGTACTAAATCTAAAAAAAAATTTCAACAAATTAAGAAAAATTTGGACATCTTCACCCTGATGCTCTGAATGCATCGTGTTTCCTTCTGGCGCATCAGTGAATGTTTGAACCTTTTTTAATAGTTGTGTTTGGGTCCCTCAATTGTCCTCAGTCTGAAATGATGGCTCTCAAAATCATAGAGTCACTGCTGGAAAGGGTTCAAATATGCAAAAGATGCTCGAAAACTGAAGAATCTGCAGGACATGGAGGATTTTTCTGAAGAACAGTGCTCAGTTTAACTGTTCAGAACAAACAAGGGACTCGTGAACAACCATCACAAAACAAACAAACAGTCGTGGATCATCCAGGAAACCACACACAGTATTCCCAAACTTTTGAATGGGGTTATTTGAATAATTTCAGCAATTTTGTTTTCTTGTAAACATCCTTTATGTAAAATATCTTACTCGGGACAGTACTAAATAAAAAAAATAACATGCATTTTGTATGATCTCTCTTATTTTGTTAAAATTATTCACAGATTCTGTAAAGGGTTCACAAACTTTTACATGCCATTGTGTATATATATATATATGTATATTGGTTTTTGAGTAAGCACAAATAATGCTTTTTCACTCAAAAACTGAGGTTTATAAGCTCAACTCAGTGAGGCCTACAATCAATCAGTTCAAAAAAGATACAAAACCTGTGATAATTGAAAGAAAACAAGTTGACAAAAAGATTGAATCCAAGATTTGGTGATAAATATAGCATTTACAAGCAATTTTTAAAAGGCCGGTCATTTTTATCCGGGAACACCAAATTATGTAAAGGGTGCTTCTAAGTTCTGTTAATGATTGAGGCCATAAGCAAAATCTAAGATCCGGGTATAATGATGAACATTTGTTTTGATGAATTGAATATAATGAATGAATATTTGCATTTCCAGTAATTGTGACTGGTCGTCTTCCTTGCATGTATTTGCATACTAAATAGAGATTCTCTTCTTGTATCTATTTAATAATCAATAGACGTGTTTATGCTGCAGGATTTCATTTATGCTGAACCAAACGTCTAACACCTAAACATACTCAACCTTTCACACTTCTCTTTGGTTGCCTTGCGTAAGCACCGAGGTATTTCCTTCAGGAAATGCGAATCTAGTTATCGGTGCTGTTCTGAATTCTATTACAGGCTATTTGCTTTTTATTCCACAAGACGCTGTGCAACCCCCGAATTAAACAGTCAGTGTCCCAAAACTGCCACACTGGTCGAGAAATGATTAATATTCATCATACATTCAAGATTGTTAACTGTGATACATCACAGCATCTTAAATCACAAGGAGCACATCTGAATGTTAAAATCTTCTTATGGTAAAATGTATGCAAATCTCCAATGGGAGCAGAATTTGTCACAGGTGTTTAAAACGGCCGTTCAAAGTCTCAGCTGTGATCACCTTCAGAATCGTGATGTTCCAGGTGAAGCTCTCTACGGATTTGTGGAGCTTTCTTCCCTTCAGTCCCTCCTTCACCCCCATGTCATGTAGATTCTCATGGAACTCCATCGCTGAAATGACAGATTCAGAAGCCAATATTTTTTAGGTTTTTGAGGATATTCAATGTACATTACCTTTTTTAATTTTGTGAAATAGTATTACAATTTAAAATAACTGTTTTCTATTTGAATATATTTTAAAATGTAATTTATTCCTGTGATGTAAAGCTGAATTTTCAGCATCATTACTCCAGTCTTCAGTGTCACATGATCCTTCAGAAATCATTCTGATATGCTGATTCGTTGCTGGAGAAATTTTTGAAAACTGATACATATTTTTTTTTTAGGATTCTTATAAAAAGTTAAAAAGAACAGCATTTATTTGAAATATAAATCTTTTGTAACATTATAAATGTCACATTTGACTACTTCAGTGCATCCTTGCTAAATATTATTATAATTCAATACTATAATTTATTTCTTTAAAAAAGCACCATGACCATTAACTTCTAAACAGTAGTGTAAATTTCAACATTTATGTATTTGCAGTTTGCAATTAAAAATAATATCTAAAAAAATTATGCCTTCAACCAAACAAATTGTCGTGATAAAAAATATTTAAAATGTTCATTTAAGAACTAAATCAGCAAAAATCTATGAACAACGAAAAAAAAAAAAAGCATTTATTTGAAATATAAATCTTTTGTAACATTATAAATGTCACATTTGACTACTTCAGTGCATCCTTGCTAAATATTATTATAATTCAATACTATAATTTATTTCTTTAAAAAAGCACCATGACCATTAACTTCTAAACAGTAGTGTAAATTTCAACATTTATGTATTTGCAGTTTGCAATTAAAAATAATATCTAAAAAAATTATGCCTTCAACCAAACAAATTGTCGTGATAAAAAATATTTAAAATGTTCATTTAAGAACTAAATCAGCAAAAATCTATGAACAACGAAAAAAAAAAATATATATATATGTATATGTTTCCATTTATATGCACCAATATCACAATACTTTATAATAAACAGCAATATTTACACACACACACACCTATATATATATATATATATATATATATACAGTGGGGCAAAAAAGTATTTAGTCAGCCACCAATT